CGTGAGGCCTACTCATTTTATTTTGGGACGGCCCAACCGTAGGTCTTTAAATCAACTACTTATCTTAATGCTATTTCGTATCAAGCGGGAGGCTAGGGAAAGCAAAATATCAAGTTCACTTTTCCCATAATCCTATGAATAGGCCTTAGGCTTCAATCCGATTTCGTGTAGCCTTACCTCCAAAAATGTATTCTCATTCTGGCCGGATTGCAGTTTTGACTTATTCTGGGTCATATCAGGCTCCCAACTATAAATGTGGAACTGTTCTGTAAGATTTACGGATAATTATGAACCCTGTGCGTTATTAAACTCACCTTTTGATCATGTGATTTTGTTGAGTAGAGATCGGCCTTTTGATTCTGATTAGAGAATACGACTGTCGGCATGCCATCAGCATTTGATGATTGTCGAATTCTCCCAATTGGCTCACTCGTTTTCCATGTCCGCCAGATCTCGTCGATGGCGTCTCCCCGGACCTCACTGGCCGAACGTCCTATCGTCCAGGCCTCGAGCTCCTTCGCCCCTCGGTGGAGTTCCAGATGGGTCTGGTCGTCGCCAGGCGACCTCCGAAGAAGGCCCCGTTCTACCCGCTTGACGGAGCCATCGTCGACGCCGACGCCAGTCGGCCGACTTGCCTCGGTTGGACTGCAACCGCGTGAGCCATCGGACGAGCCGGCCAGCTGGTTGGACGTCTGTCCGGTCTCGAGCGTCATCGAAGGTAGCGACTCATCCATCAACGAAAACGGGCACGTTGGATGGGCCTCTATCTCCAGCTCCGTCAGGCCAGTGAGCTCGGCTGCAAAAGTGCTTCGGCCGGCTCGCCAGTCTTCTGTAGACAAGAAGGATCGGCAAGAAAACAAAAGCGTTCGTAGTCAGTTCAGCTGACCTGCTGAATTGTCTGTTTCGAGAGGAGGCTTCTAAAAAAGTGGGCTATAGAGACCGATTTCACACCTCCTGCCTAAAAGGTCAGCCCAAAAGAGGATGAAGAGGAGCAATCTATGCTGTGACATATTGTAACATGATGTTTTCCATTCGGAAGGACATGTTGGTTGAAGGGAATTTGTGATGTGGTCTAACTGAAAAATTATCTTATTGTGCGGAAAACTCCTGTCATCCCGATGCACCTGTGCTAAGCTTTCGTCCGTACCATCATGGCAGACGGCATAAGCCAAGGGTCAATATTTTACGAAATATAGCAAAAATTTACTGAACAAATCGAAAAGGTGTCCGGCTGTAACCATGCCAGGTTAGGTGCATAAAAAGCGACTTCGTTTGTAGTCGGCCACCTTTTTTTATGGTTTAGTATATTTTATAATAAGAAAAGTTGGGTTTTGAGGAATCTGTTGTTGCATAATTGTTTAGCTTACTTCCATTTCGAGTGGAAGTGTTGGGTGAAGAGATTCGAAGGTCGGTTCCACC